TGATTGAGCCATTTCAAGAGCAATCTGAATGCACTCCGCGATCTCCCAATCCCCTCATCACAGACATTTTTATCTATAGAACTCTTTATTCCATCCTACATTGAGCCATTTCTTACATCAACCACTTCCAGCGCTTCTTTTAGCCCAGTGATTCACTATTGATTGTCTGCATGTGCTAGAGGAGGGAAAGGTTAGACGGTCGTGGTGTTATTGGAATACATGGCGTGGCAATCCAAATGTGAATTGATTTAGTAGTCTTCATAAACATTATGTGATCGACTTCAACGCGCATAAGTAAACAACATTTTTGGATCAAGTGTATGTGTGTGTGAATGCATGTGCAAAAACATATCCATACCCTCGAGTTATGCAGAGCTGAGTGCGCGTCCCCGGGTTGTGGATAGGGGGATACCTCCACGGAAGAATGTTGGTTGTGAATAAGTTGTGGTATACCGCAACAAATAAGCAGTCGCAAACAAAGGGCGGCGGTACTACCAGCGTGTGGTGGGTTTCAGGCTGACCACGTGGCTCCTGTTTAGAAACTGCATAAGCCCAATGAGGATGTCATGACAGAGGTCGACGTGACTGGACTTTTAAAACTAGTCATTGACCCCCTCACTTCCAAGGCGAGGGATTACTTCCTGCTGCCTTACAGTTCGCGCTTGGTTGTGCAAAGGCTAGAGGTGCGCCCTCAAAATAAAAAAACGCCGAGTGACGCTGGGACGTCTTTCGTACCCAACTCCCAAGGAATTCCATGACCATAGTCACAATCATGCATGGAGCCGGCTTATTCTTTCCAAGGAGGCAGTCGCAGTCGCAGTAAAGTAACATATCTATATCGTCGCCCAACTGCTATTTCCATTAAATTTGTACGTGAACCGTTGAGAATCACAACTAATGAAACCATTTTATGTACCAAATGAAGTTCTCTAAAGGTACACGTCACTGTCATATTTTTGGTAGTCGCCACTCTTAGATACAATGGTTTCATGTTCCTTAGCTGCTATGATGAAATCCGACAGCAAAAGTTAATGGATTGTTCATGCCCTCATATTATTGATCAGAACGAAAGTGTATTGATCGAAATTTTCAAGATCTAATGAGACACATTCGGAAAACCTTCACCCTATCATTTTGCAGCATTTCAAGCAAATAAGGACGGTTTGTTAAAGCTCTCAACCAAATTAACTAGCATGTATGGTACTATCTTTCTTCGTTCAGTGGAGCCAAGTGATACCCGTGAAACGACCCCATGCAGAATTAAATCACAGCCATTGGGGGGGGGGATTAAAAAATCAGCAGGTATGATGAAAATAATCTTAGAAATTATTCGAAAATAAACATCATTTGGTATGGGATTATTGTTTGAATGATTAACAATAAAAATAGTTTACCTACGCGATGAAAACATTTGTTCAATATGCACCGAATTTCTCGAGTAATCCCATAGATCATTTCAAATTGTCCCACTGTATCGATTAACTGGCTTGTTCAGCACTGTGCAGTGCATAGAACGCTCCTTTCGCTTCCATCAGAGCACCCGGTGGTCCGTACTCGATTTTGCGACCACTATCCAGAACGACAATCAAATCGGAATTCTGAACTGTGGTTAGACGATGTGCGACTACCAGGGATGTATGCGACCCGGTAGCTTTATCCAAGGCCTCCTGTACAATGCGCTCACTCTCATTATCCAGAGCAGATGTGGCTTCGTCCAACAGCAACAATTTCGGTTTACGGAGCAGAGCACGGGCAATGGCAATGCGCTGTTTCTGTCCACCGGATAACTGAGAACCACTCTGGCCAGCCAGAGTTTCATAACCCTTAAAATAGAAGGAACCGTTAAGCGTTTTTTTTTCAATTGTTTCTTTTGCTGTGTGTATACCTTCGTTACCAAACAATGATACGTCGCCATTATGCTTGAATAGATAGTTGGACATGAATCGAAATTAAAAAAAACATAGAAAAAAAGCAGTGGATCAGAATAAAAGTAGAACAATTCCTCCACCCTCTCCAATTTAATCAATCAATCTTGTTTCAGTTTGGTTTAATTCATCTTACAGAATGTTATTGACATTTAGGTAAGAAAAACGAGACATTTAGTGCACGTTTTCTGTAGTATGCACTGTCATTTACGAAAAGAGCGAAATGGTTTCGGATATAATTTTTCTACATTTTAATACTCATTTAAATCCCGTTTAAATAAATAAGTTGCTTTGGAAGCATATACACGTATAAAGCCCGAATTAACTACAGAAATTAGTATTCGTTAGGGCTATCTACTTCTTTCTCTTTCCCTTTAACTTTGCTCTATACATACAAACTGTGGGCTGCTTAACAGCTCAACATAGAGATTTGATTATGGGAACTTAAAACATTTGTGTCAGCGTAGCGACATCCGGCTGTCCGATAAGTGTCTAGAGAATATTATTGCAATTCGGGGCATAAACGTAACCATTACAAAAATAGTATAAAGACACACTGACAGCGTTCGAATACCGCTGTCTACGCAGCACTGTATGGATCCGGGAGGGAAACCGTACGAGGAATGCTGATGTTAGGCACAGAGTTTTAGGTAATCAGAGTCGCCCACTGGAGTAAGTGGTCGACCTCCAAAGATTACGTTGATTGAGACAGATGGCACCAATATCAACAAGCATATTGCAGCGAAGAGTGATGCTTGCCGAGGCAGGTAGTAGATTGAAAAGGGTCAAGGCTGGTCAAGCTAGGACCGGAATGAGGGGCAAAAGTCTTGACCAGGAGACTCGGTCATAT